TACATTTACACAGTAGAGGATTGAATTGAAGAATTTTGAGAGCCAGCGGGAGTCAGAGAACTGCCGAGAAAGAAAGTGGGAAGTTCAGATCACGTAGGATGCTTACTGGCTGCGACCGGTCTCCTTGGACGAGCAGATCTTCACAAGCCGCCATCTGCCGCCGGCTCGTTTCCCTGCCCAATTCACACCGCTGCATGCTTAACGAACTATTAGCCTACTGTACTTCCCACTGAAGAGGGGTAGAGGCCGTAGGAGATCTACACTGTGTGCAGTCCTGTTCGCTCGAATGCTGGGACATGCCAGAGGGGTTGGAAGTGGTGCGGCTGCAGCCCGTTTTCCACCTGAGAAGAACACAACTGGATGGAAAATGGTCTGGCGCCGCGCCAAACCCAGCCCCCTGACACTTCCTATCTGCGGTGAGCAAGACTGTACATATCGAGCCAGGAATCCCAGGCTTTGCAAGAAGCATACTCATCGACTGGGAATCGGAGACCAATTGAAGGGGAAAGTATGAATGTGGCTCAATCAGCTGAAATCTGTTATTGCTGAAATGACTGTCGGAGATAGTTATTTGCTCGAATCAGCTTTCCACGTGGGATGTAGGTTCATTTTCATTCCTCGTCAGTTTTACGTGAGGTTGGTTTTCTCTTCAGATATTCAGATAGACTCCATACCTCGCAAATGGAAGGGAGTGCCCACGGGCTTGGTTGTGAATGTGACGAGGGTGAGTAGTTTCTGGTTTAGGAAGTGGAGCAGGTGATTAACGAAGTGCAGGCAAGAAAAGGTCAGCGCAACACTCATCCCTCTCTGGCTGAACCGCACAAGTTTGCAATCGCGACCGGGTCCACTGAGAGTCCGAGGACGCTCCCCTCCAACGGCAATATACGGCCTTGTTCGCTGCAGAAGCTGAGGCGTTTCGAGAGGCTCAATTTGGACTGTTTTCCTCCAATTTCGGTCGCCTGCCAGCTTCCACAAGTAATTGAGAACAAGCTGGAATCGTGGCCCGCCGAACCATCCCCCCGCAGAACATCCCAGGCGTTTGCTGCAAATAATCATGATGAACTGCATTGTAAGTGCAGCTGTGACAGATACGTTATAGGTCGCCACCCTTTCAGCCAATGTTATCACTACAAGGTATCCTCACACTCATCTTGAGGGTCATGGCAGTGAAGAGTGCAGCCGAATTATCGCTTGAGAATTGGTTTTGTGGACATAATCTAATAATTAGAATATTATCATATAGCTCTATGATAGGGCCATGTTGGAAATATGCTGGTAAGTTATGCATTTTCCTCAAGTGGACATATTACCCTCGTATTGAATAGAGACACTTTCGGTGAAGGTAGTTGGGAGGGCAGCCCGCGACGCGGCTATGCCACGTTTCGTCTGCTCATCTGCGTCCTCTCACTGAAGTAGTATGCTGACTCCGTCAGAATAGGTAGGACATCATGTTCCCTTACGATGCAGAAACCATGAGCTTCGTTGCTTCCTCTCTCTGAACTTACCCCCGAAAATTCTCCACAACTTACGTGAAAACCAATGCAGCCCATCAAATCTGCGCTGAAGCTCCTCATAGTTTTATGCGACAGAATTCCTCTGCCGTTTCATGCATTTCCCACCCCTAAAGCGTTTCACTTCTCCATGCCTCTCCGCACGGAGATGTAGGACAAGTCTAATGGTACTAAGCAGTAGTCTTAATGAAAGATAACTATTGTATCAGTGATAAAGTCATTCGCTGTTTTTTGTCACTACTCTGTAAACAACAATCATTCAACTGCAGTCCAGTTGGTTTAGCGGCCGGATACAACGCCTCAGTAGATAGGAGAAGAAGTGAAGTTCCCTGAAACCAACACCTCACTTTTAATGTAACCCGCCCTAAGAACTTGGTGACACTCCCCTTCCAACGCGCCTTATCATGTCTAAGGCCGCGTTCATACTTTGCAGCAGCTTCCGTCAGGGTCAGCGACAAGGACGGTATAGGTGTCGATATAGCGAGCCACAGCGTCTATCAACGTTTATCAGCGTGCGCCAGCGATCATCAGCGCCTCGAAGGACTAGAAAAGCATGAATATCGATCTATTCTTTACCAGCGTCCACCAGCTACCACAAGCCTATTCAGGGTCCGGGATACGGTTTGTGTATTAGTACGGTGTACACGCCACAATTTCACGACGCCCAATCTAGCTGTCACCTCCCTCCATACTCTACCAGAGTCTGTTACCCTCCTACGTTCCCATGCTATCTAATCCTGGTCGCTGGTGGACGCTGCCTTTTGCTAGATCGATATCTATACCTTTCTAGTCGCTGACGCTGATGGTCGCTGGTGGACGCTGGTGGACGCTGCCGTAAAGTATGAACACAGCCTAACCAATCTATTGTTATCACTTTCTGTCACCAACTGTCGATGTCCCTGTCACCCACTTTACGTGACGGTAGATGACATCATAGTTCTACTGGTGCTATGACGGACGCTAGAACTTGAACTAAGAAAGTTGGCGCCTCCTTTCAGCAGCGCTTTGTTTGAGCTTGTCAAGCTGGTTCTGATTTGCTTAGCGCCACCAATAGCGGCCCAAGCACGCCTCCTGTACAGCCATTCCTTGGAAAGATGCACCTCACCTTGTGATCTTATGGATTTCGTGACCATACACAGGACAGTCTTTGGCGGAGGAAGACTACGTGGAGCTTCTCCACCACGACACTATATGTTCCCCGTGATCTTTGTACTCCCTTCCTTTGGTCTGACCACAAACCGCCTCTCATCGATTGCTAATTTTTTGATTTTGCCGTTTCGGGCGCACACTCTGCCCCTCGGCGCTCGACACTCATTGCACTGCATGCAAGAAGCAGATAGTTCATGGTTGATAATGATCTGTTTGACATCAGTGATGGCTCCGGGAACAGAGTAAAGCGGTCGTGATGTGTGAGATTGGTAGGAACGCCCCCTCTCTCGGGAGAGGGTGTTGGTACGTTACCACCCCCATAGCGACTATAGAAGAAGGTCTTCGGTACGACCCCGCCCTTCTCAGCACCTACTACGGCAGTCCCGGTCCCATTTTTTCAGTTTTTCAGCCAGAGTTTTCCGTCGAGCGGGGGAGGCGGGTAAACAGTACACATGAAACAGGAGAAATCACGCGAAAAGTCAACAACCGGGAAATTTTTTCTCCCAATGCGGCAAATTTTCTCTCGAAGCTCATGCGACCCCCTTTTCCTCGCCGACAAACTAACGACCGCCCCCCCTATGATTTTTCAGCACAACGATGCTGTACCCTGAAAGGAGAAGCGTTCACATACTGAGCTTCTAATATGTATTTGGTAGTGTAGTCAGAAGTCAGTACCTTCAAAACTACGCTATCTCAGTGAGAAGACAAGCAGACGTAACCACGTGGCCCACCTACCTCTGTCTTCTTTGTTGACGGACGGAGGGTGGGATAGTCGGACTAACAGTAAGCACCGTCCGTCTTCTGCTCCTCTGGACCCTCTCGGCTAGACAGGGGTCAGTGACGCCAATGAGACCGCGTAGACGAGCAAACAGGCGTGGCCTGGTCCTCCCCACATACTCTCCCGTCACCTGCTTCACACCGATCTTAATGTAAGACGGACTAGACAATCGCAATTGGCCACGTCGTCGCACGCGGCGTATCGTGCGGCGATGCGCGGCAAATTCTCCATGTGCACTGATTTTCGATAGGAGCAGAAAGACATCATATGAATCCAGACAAAGCAGGATTTTATGAAAGATAGGGAATTCTTCCATTTTTTCAACTTTCAAATCAAAACGGCCAGGCAGGATAACTCGTCCGTCGAGCGCGCCGTCGCTCGCCACCCCTAGCAGCGCGGCACATTACGATTGTCTTGTCACTTACCTCATTTTTATACAATGTTTTCCTCATGTAATGGCCATCCACCTACCCCACCCCTCCCTTCTTTGTGTTTCCTCTCAAGTTCATGTGATTCAGCACAAGTGAATCATTGTTGTGCACTTCATGATAACTGCTACGATTTACAATTAGGACGATCAAAATGCGATCACAACTTTTGCGATTGTTTAAAAGTAAGCGGATGTTTGTAAATAATAAACAATAAAAAAATCACACCTGGAACAACTGCAACTTTCAGCGTGCCACAGCACCCGACACATGCGCAGCGACAGAATTCAAATGTTTTGTTCATAAAGAATGGTGGAGAGCCAGCGTATTCTAACGCGGCAACGTACAAAGGTGAGCGCGATTCTTGCCAGAAGAAATCCTGAAACGAAATCACTGAAAGCAGTGGTGCACATATTCTGCACTTTACACAGACTGGGAACTGTATTATGGCTAAGGGTGCTAAGGTAGTTGGGGAGGGGCGGAACAGCCGGTAGAGATACGAGTCTACACACATTCTCTGCTCTTCTGCTTCCTCTCGACTAGATAGTACATGGTGGGTTTGCCTAGAGCCGGTATTGAACGATCTGAGAATGGACATGGCCTAGTCTCGCTATCTGCTCCCATCCCTTTCGCAGCATTAATGTCGAATATAAGAGTTTCCGGTAAATGCGAGAGTGAAATGGATACACAAAACGTTTAAAATTCAGAGCCACCGCCCCACATTTATAAGATCGTCGCGGACAGTCGGAGGGGATTCAAAAGGATTTTGAGCTGCTTTATGAAGAATGTCCACAAGTAATGTGTGGGTATCACTACAATATCATTTCAAAATTTTTCGACTGAGAAGGAATCGATTGGTTGGGTTCGAAAAATTGAGAATCAAAGTCGAGAAATCTACCTGTTCAAATGACCGCGCGCGGTCGCGACGGCTGTTCCACACGAGGAGTTCTCCACACAGAACTCGTCAAGGTTTTATGACTAGATCCCTAAGATCGGGTAGGCGGGCTGCATCTCAACTTAACCTGGAGGTGTCTACGCTTCTGGTGGATTATGTTTCCATCTTGACACAACTGTTGTCGTGTCTCTGTCCAACATAGAACAAGATGACAGTTGTCTCAGATTGGAATATTCCACGAGTAACCAGTTCTGTGCCATGTTCAAATGCCACGCCTACTCTGGCTCAGGCGATAAGGAGTGTACTTCGCAAGCACGAACAAAGGCGGTATTTTCGGCCACTTGTCAGCATAAGGAGATGTGACACAGACCACATTTATCCACCGCTATGTACATGCCTAATGCAAGCTCTATTGGGCACTGCGACGCGTATTGGCGACGTGACAACTTCGTCTCGCACATTGCGAACTAGTGGATTTTCGCAATAGCTTGTACGAACAGAAGGAGTACCAAAGAGTAAACAGAGTCACAGTTGTCAACAAGAAATAAGCCCATAGAGGTAAATTGCGGACCATATCGCACCTTTGTTCGGGGTTGTCACGTACAAAGTTGCTGTGAAAGAGGCCTTATTTCGGAATTCAACAACGATTTTTTTCTGCTCTTCTCCTCCCTACTGAGTTCCTTGGCATTTGGCACACCCATTTCAGCACTCTCCCCCCTCCGGGAGACGGACAAGAGAACTGTCGTTTGTCGCGTCCTAGCGCGCCTCGTATCATGCCGCGATGCGCGGCGGGTTCCCGGTAAACATCAATATCTCGACTGGAGCAACAAAACTGATATGGATTCGAGCGGTTGCAGACTTTATGATGGGCGGTATGGATGTTCCTCGTTCTTTCGATACTCAACTTCGAACAGTCAGGCAGGACAACTCGTCCACTGGGCGCGACCACGCCCAGTGGACGAGTCGCTCGCCAGTGCGGCATATTACGAGTGTCTTGTCGCATACAATCCCCCCCCTCTCTTATACACGATTTATGATCGCGAGCTCTGTTATTACTAAAGCACACCCCTCTCAGCAATCAAATACGCACCCTCCCCCTCTCGCTAATTCCCGTAATATCCTGTGAACCGTAAACGACTGACGCGAAAGTTTTCGAAACTAAAACAGAAAGAAACGTCGCTTGTGACAGAATTAGTGATGCCCCTACGCCCCAGCTTCTAGAACATTCTTGATTCAATCTTTCATTCATTATCATGCTCAGCTGTTTTCAGTATCGATTAAATCGTGTTCATTGATCGCGAATATTTGTCTGGAAAAGAATGAAGAAAACTGCGAAAAAAACCTGACTGAATGCGTCCAACAAGCTGCTGATCTTCAAGATACCCAAGAATGCTGGCGAGCCATTTCTCAAGCTCGGTTGTCTCTCGGTAAGCTGACTGATTCCATTGCTATGAGTCCGTCCCCCTCCCAACTGCTGTCAGCCCTGTACTTCAATGGTTCACATTCAGAGGACAGCAAATCCAATCGTCAACGTGTGCGAAGAGATGTCGTGGCAGAAGGTACAACAACTACAACCGGTGTGTTGTGGGACTCAACAACAAAACCACCATCCACACATCCAACGTCCAGAGAACACCTCGGCAGTCGTGACCCATTCACGTTCAATTTCTTTGTATGTTCTTCTATGGAAGGATCTCTGACCAACATTGAAAACATGAAGGCGGCGCACTTCGGCGACGGGGAGGGGGGACGGCATTTTGCACTTTTGCTACTTCCCTTCGACGTGTGGACCTATCTAGGCACCCGGGCGATTCTATCGTCGGCAAGTCAGGCGACGCCGCACACGCCGCGCCGCGTCGCTGCGCGGCACGCCGCGACGCGGCAATCCCGGAGTTGCATTACCGTACTCCCGAGTTGTCATTGGAGCAACGGCCACAGCAAGCTGTGCCTCTTTCAAATTGTTGAAGGGATCGTCGACCCTTTAACAATTTGAACGCCACGCAACAAAACTCGTACGCGGCGGCCGCCACGCCGCCTCGCTCCGCCCACCGGCGCGACGACCCGACGATAGAATCACCACACACCCGACAGCCTCTTCTCGAGTTGACAGGTTTTAACATGATGGACTTGACTACCTTGTTCCAGCTTCACAAGAGTTCACAGGTTTCGCCAGAGTGAGACATGTAAACCGGAACTGAGGAAGCAGTGACAGTACAAAATGCCCCTCCTCCCACTCGGGTGGCCAAACTGTGCCCGTGAAGGTTTTTGGTTAATAAGTTTGGCGCAATACAGTGCCGTGACTTGCCACGGGAGTCAGGGGATGACAAGTCATCCATGACGTTAAGGCACCGATCAGACTTCGCGACAGCACAGCGCTTCGCTCGCGCAATTCGACGATCGATGCGCATGCTTTCAACTGCGTCGATCGTGCCGAACCCGCGACCGAAGCGCTATCATCGCGAAGTCTGAGTGCTGCCTAACGACAAGGTAAATAAGTAATGTGAAAGCGTTGTCAGTGGCGTCTCAAGACACGTCATTAATGTGTTGCATGTAGTGTCATAGTATAGTAAATAGTAGTGCTTAGGCCCAAAACATTTATGGGGAAGGGGAGGGGTGATGTAGTACTCTGCTTGAAAGACTCTTAATCGAGGCCTGGGAGGTAGTGGGGGAACAGGATTTTTGACTGATTTCACGGGGAGCAACATAGACCAAAACACGTTAAAGAACATACTACGTTATTCCCAAATTTGCACGAAGAACCATTTTACCCTCCACTCTCCTTCTGTAGTGGACTTGCCGAAAAATTAAGGAACAGTAAGTCACTAGAGTGAAAGTTGCTTTCTACTAGTGCAGTTACGTAGAAAGAGCCAACCTAAACCGGGCCCATATTTAGCTCGGCTACGCCTCCCAGCCAAATGGTGGGACTTGACTGTGACCAGTGAGAACGCAGGCGAGCTGCGAACTAACTGGTTCAGTCTCACCTATGCCCCCCTCTTCCCCTTTTCCACTCTGGAAACGGGCGTCGTTGTGTGAAACACATGGGGGGGGTCGTATATTTGGTCGTTGTTGGGAGGAGGGAGGGGATCGTATGTTCCTTTGAGAGGAATTTGCCGCGTTGGGAAAAAATTCTTCTCGGTCGTTGACTTTTCGCGGTTTACCCGTTTCACACTGGCTACCCCTCTCCTCTAGTTGGTGGCGCTGCCAACGCCAAAGTTCTATACAACTATTATTTCGGAAGCCCATCAGCGAAATTCCCCTCCTCCCGTCCTCACCGCTCGACAGCGAAATTCTTGGGTGAAAAACTGGAAAATGTGGGAAATTCCGGAGAAACTGGTAGGAAGCAAGGACTTTGGAGGGAAGTGGTAGGCAGGATACAGCATCGTGATGCGTGAAATGGTAGTGTAGGTATGACCCCTCCCCCTCCAAGAGAGTGTCAGTGCGACCCCCTCCCCACTTGAATGAGGGTCTCGGTACGACCCCCCTCTTCCGCATCACACCTACTCACCAATTTCTCGCATTTTCCGGTCCAGTTTTCCACCCGAAAATTCCCTTGAGCGGAGTGGGAGTGGAGGACGGGGGGGGTGATAGAGTATACATAAGACAGGAAAAAATTAAAATTATGGCAAAGTCCACAACCCGGGAAAAATTTGCTTCGCCAAGGCGCGATTTCCTCATCAAGCCACAACGACCCGCCCCTGTCCCAACACCAGACGCGCCCCTCCCAACGGAAAAAGTACCGACGCTCCTACGTGTTTCGCACCACGAATGCTGTGGCCTTGTTCTCTAAACGGCCTATACGCGTGTAGAAATACATGCAAATGTCTAACAGGTCTTAGTTCGCAGCGAGAAATGGTAGGCGCGGCGCCAGCTCGTTCTCCCCCAATTGTGAAAGCTGGCAGGTGATAGCAGTAGGTGGGCTGAGTTACGCGAAACTCAGCCCCCTGAGACACTCCAGTGTCCGCAGAGAACAAGACTGTAACACATCTAAAGTCCTCTAACATATTTATAGATTAAATAGATAAATAAAGAAATGGCGCAGTTTGGCGGGGGGGGAAGGGGGGCATTTGCACGTTCAGTGGTCCACTAGTTCCGGTTTGCATACTTTACGTGATGAAACCTGTGAACTCCTTTGAAGGTTGGAGCAAGCTCATTAAGCCACAATGGTGAAACCTGTCAACTCACGAAAAGCTCTCTGGATGGGTCGACACGTCGATGAGAAGAGCAAAAGTGCAGAATGCCCCCCGTCGCCAAACTGCGCCTAAAGAAGTTAATAAGAAAGTGCTTATAAAGTGGAAAAGTGATATTTCAGGTTTTTCTTGTTGTTGTCATTTTTGCAATCATACTTGCCTTCTACCTGAATTTTAAAAGAAGACCTGATCGCGTATGTTGTTTTGGTTGAGCCATAGCTGATGAGGTCTTGTTCCCTGCGGACGCTGGGGCGTGTCAGGACGGCAGACGACCAAAGTTGATGGAAAACTGATTGGATTAGCCACACCCAGCCCCACTGACAAGCCCCAGCATCCGCAGCGAACAAGGCTGACATTGAAATTAAGGTCTCGGAGACTAACGAGTTGCCTGCAGTATTCAGGAGGCATGGAGAGCAAACCAGTCGGAAATCTCACGAAGCGAATAAGCGGCAAACAAGACTAATGGAATCAAAGACGCTCAAGGAACAACATACATGTTTTATCCAAATCTACTCTATTCAACAAATAACTGAAAAATAAATTTGCGAATTGGAGTCACTTATACAGAATTACGGTTTTTCGTCGTTATCATAATGTGGAAAGGTGTGGGCAAAAGTGCACCCTATATCCAGGGAATGCGGAGGGCGTGGCCGTGTACTCCATTCGAACGTGGCGGCGACTGCGCTCTAGGTGGGGAGCGGCGTTTTAGGAGAATGTACTTGTCGCCAACCTTAGAACTGATGAAGACTTCAGAGTTCTTGGCGGTGATCAACACTTCTAGACGCGCCACGTATTCCACTTTCGTTCAGAATCTGCTGTCTTTTGGCTACGACTTGGAAGATAAGTCAGTGTGTTTATGCTATCACGGATGCTGTTTTTCTCAAAGGGAAATATCCCATAGGAAACGCGTCCTTCGCCATGTTTCAAGTACGAAGCACGCCCATGCTATTTGGGATATGGATGTAATTAAAGGGAGCCAGAGTGGGTCTGACCGATTTTCTGAAAGTCTGCGCTCCTTGAGGGAAAGATAGACGGGGAGAAGACCACATGGTAAACACTACCTCGCCACGAAAGCGCAGACAAGTAGAAAAGGGCGTCCGAGCTCGCTGCCGGCAGACCCCTCCAGCTACCCTCCCCTCAAACGATGCTTATACTGAGTGACAACCGATACCTGCTGCCTAGATGGGCTGAAATTATGCGGATGAGAACGTCTACAAGGATATTTATGAGCAGAAATATCTCGCGTTGCGACAATACACATCTTCGCGTTGCGACAATACACAGGAATTTTCGCGTTGTTTTGGTGAAACTTAGAAGGGTGCAGAGAAAGGATGACCTAAGAAACAAAAAAAAAACCAGAGAATGAAGAAGGCAAAGGTTTCTTCGATTGGCAGATATCCTGAGATCGATGGGGATGATGTTAATGGAGAAAATCGATTTCAAACAACTGGCGTTGACTGGCAATCGAAACAATGTGGGTGGGCCAACCCGTTTTGTAGGGCAGCGCTTTTCCCTTTCATAGACGAACAATTTCCTGCATTTGGACAAATTCAAACAAGGTTTTCGAAGGGAACTATTTTTTTCACTTAATGTTGAAGGTTTTTGGTTCCACTGAAAGAATCAGTTTTGTGACCACTTTTTTTTTGCTTTTTTTAGCCGCGGTACTACTATCTCATTACTCGGGCTTCTTGCGCGGGGTCAAGCCAAGTCCTAGCTAGTTGACTTGATACAGCAGGGCGCAGTTCGGCGACGGGGGGGGGGGCATTTTGCACTTTTGCTACTTCCCATCGACGTGTCGACCTATCTAGACAGCCTCTTCTCGAGTTGACAGGTTTTAACATGATGGCTTGACGGCCTTGCTCCAGCTTCACAAGAGTTCACAAGTTTCGCAATGATAGTACAAAATGCCCCCCCCGTCGCCAGACAGCGCCACACAGCAGTTTGACGTAAAATGGAAAGTGCGACAAATCACGTCGAGATAAAACCTATACACTGGGACTAAACAGTCAAAGAACGAGATACATTGGAGACCGTTGACTTGGCTAGAAATTACAAGTGTTGCGTCACGTAGCCAGGAATATCAGCTCGACAGGCGGACGCCGCTCCTTAGATGTGCTAAACTACGCTTGTGATGCTCGTGAGGCTTCTGTTGCAATAGCGGATCCCGCTAAAGAATTGAGCCAGCACAGACGGGAACACTCCATCTGTGGGAAGCTTGTGAGCACAGAAGGCTTCGGAAAAACATTGGGTGGACGGCATTCTTTCAGAATGGGGTTATGCAAACTATACAGTCACCCGTAGAGCATCCCTACTCCTTGTTTGGGTGGGAATAGAGAAAGGATTTATTGATACAGGGTGGGGGACTAAAGGGGCCATCGAAAAGGTACCACTAATATGTGTAAAGGGAGAAGTACATTATCACGAGGAGCAAATACCATTATTAATTGTCATATGAGCCAATGACTTTGGCTTTCGGTCAGCCGGC